GGGTCTTTCATACGTGTCCTTTATTGTGTTGAGATATGAGTCCTCTTCTCCCACTTTGCTGAGAGTATTTATCAAAAGTGGGTGTTGGGTTTTGTCAAATGCTTTTTCTGAATCCATAGATATGGTCATGTTGTTTTTCTCTTTCAGTTTGTTTATGTGATGTATCATGTTTATTGATTTGTAAATATTGTACCAGCCCTACATCCCTGGATGAATCCCATTTGGTCATGGTGTATGATCTTTTAAATATATTCCTGGATCCAAATTGCTAATATTTTGTTGAGGATTTTAGCATCTATGTTCATCAGGGATATTGGCCTGTAATTCTCTTTCTTAGTAGTGTCACCTGGTTTTGGAATTAGGATAATGCTGGGCTCATGAAAAGAGTTTGGAAGTGTTCCTTCCTCTTGGATTTTTTTAAATAGTTTGGGGAGTATAGGTGTTAGTTCATCTTTGGATGTTTGGTAAAACTCCCCTGTGAAAGCATCCAGAACAGGACTTTTATTTGCTGGGAGGTTTTAGATTCCTGCTTCTATTTCCTCAGTTGTTATTGGCCTATTCAGGTTTTCTGATTCTTCCTGTTTCAGTTTTGGGGTACTGTGTCTCTAGGAATTTGTCCATTTCATCCATATTGTCTAGCTTGTTGGCATATATTTGTTCACAGCACTTTATTACAATCCTTTTTATTTCTGGGGTGTCAGTTGTTATAACTCTGCTTTCATTTCTGACTTTATTTATTTTGGTCCCCTCTATTTGTTTCCTGTTGAGTTTGGCTAATGGTTCATCAATCTTTTTTATCTTTACAAAGAACCTACTCATGGTTTCACCAAGTCCCATTCCTGAATGGTGAAAGGTTCTGCAGTCAGCAGAGCCGTCAATCAGGAGGAGACCAGGGGAGACACACAGAGGTCAGGGATCAGTGCATGACTTGGAGAAGCTTTGCAGACACAGTGGGTTCTCATGGCTCCTGTAAACCCACCAAAGGAGCAAGGAGGGAAGTGTGGGAGATCTCCTCCATCCTACAGATGTGAGTGAGGTGAAGGTGGAGCCACTACAGCACCTATGACATGGAGGCTGGGAAAATGCTGTGATTGATCAACTACCCAACATGCAGCCTCTACCTGGGCTATTATCCTGTAAGAGCCCTCAAAGGAGTGATCAACAAAGGTTCCAACACCGTCATTATCAAAGGTCAACCTCTAACCCATGATTTTAAATAAAAAAGATTAGAAAATTTTAAAGCTGTCCTCTTGACCAAGAGATTTCTCAAGTAAGCTGCTTGTTGAAATGAGGTGAGTTCCAATGAACCTTGTTAAACATCCCTATGAAACTGCACAACACGGGAAGCACACACTGCTGTCATCTCACATCAGTGCTGGTGTGACACCTCTGGGGGGAGAGCTGAGGTCATTTCCTGTGGCACTAGAAACTGCAAGTCCTGGCACCTGTACAGGGGAGGTGACCAGGGAGCAGCCCTCATGGGCCCTTTGCACCATTCAGATGGGTCCATCCAGCTTCCACTGTCCGCGGGATTTGCACCTGTTTTATTTACTGTGGGCCTGTCAGAAGGAAATGCCCTACGGGGACAGGTGGGCATGTGGATCCGACCCCCAGCTCAGCACACAGGGGCCTGGGCTGTGCTGGGGTCTCTCTTGGTGGGAAAGTTTCCAACCACAGGCCGATGAGAGCACTGAGGATGGTCTCTGTGGAGAAAGAAAAGCAGGAAATACAGACACGTGGTGAGGAGAGTCCCCATCACTGCCCACATGTCCTCTGCCAGAAGCAGTGTTACCCCCTCCTCTGGGGTCTGCAGTGAGAAAGCAGGAAATGAGAGCCTCAGAGAAAGAGCAGGAGCCTTCCCTGGAGGCAGCTGAGAGCTTGAGAGGAAATCCCTGTGCCCAACAGGAAGGCCCTTTCCTCCCACCTCCCTCTGCACCTGCTCCTGGGCTGCTCTCTGTGCTGTGGGTCCTGAGAGCCCCCTACTGTTCCAGAGCGCCCCCTGCAGCCCAGCCCTGCTGTCTCCTCAGGGAGGTTAATGTCTGGGCTCACACTGACTTCCCCTCACTGTGTCTCTTGCACAGAAATACACAGCCGTGTCCTCGCCTCTCATGCTGTTCAGTGTTAAGTAAACTTGGCTCTTGGACATGTCCCTGGTGATGCTGAGGCGGGATTTCAGTGTTGGGTTGTAGTCTGTACTTCCACCACCCCACACAGCCCCGACCCACTCCAGCCCCTTTCCTGGAGCCTGGCGGATCCAGTGTACATCGTAGCTCGTCAGAGAGAATCCAGAGACAGAGCAAGTGAGGGAGAGGGTCTGCGAGGGCTTCACCAGTCCTGGGCCCGACTCCTGCAGCTGCACCTGGGACAGGACACCTGGGGACAAGGAGCATCAGTCCTGTCAGTCACCTGCAGTCACAGCCATCCCACGACCCCTGTCTGACCCCTGAGACCCTCACCTTGGGGGGCTGTCAGCAGGCACAGGAGAAGACTCAGTAGCAGGGTGAACTGGTTCTTGGATGCGTCTCTGGAGATGGAGGTTCAGCTCTTGATGGAGGGGCTGTAGTTAGTGCTTCCATCATAACATATGTGCCCCATCCACTCTAGCCCCTTCCCTGGAGGCTGGCGGATCCAGCTCCAGCAGTAACCACTGGTTGTGATGGAGAATCCAGAGACAGAGCAGGTGAGGGAGAGGGTCTGCGAGGGCTTCACCAGTCCTGGCCCTGACTCCTGCAGCTGCACCTGGGACAGGACACCTGGGACAGAGAGAGCACAGTGAGTCCTGGGCTCAGATGCAGGATCCCCATCTCCTCATGTCTAAGCCCTGAATCACTCACATCTGGGAGCTGAAAACAGGAAGAGGAAGAGCCACATGGGAGTCATGTCTTGCAGGTGAGGTCCTCGTCCCCCAGAAAGCATTCTCCAGGCTGAGTAGGCCTCAATTTTAAGTGGACGCCAACTGTGTGTGTGTGTCTGGTGGCCGTGTGAGCATTTGCATATGGGAGGTGTCTGTACATACAAAGGGCAAGAGCTGAGGGAGGTCCTGGTCTCTGGGGCTTCTCCTGGAAGGAGGTGCTGACTGTGCCCTCAGAGAACCAGGTCCTCCTTGGGGTCCTGGTCACTGTGCCCAGGGACCTCTTCTTCCACACCAGGGGCTATGCTGCAGGAGGTGGTCAGGAAGTAGGATTTGGAAACAATCAATGACTCCATTGGGGATGAAAATCAATGAGGCTCTGTTTCCATGGATATAGATAGATATAGATATACTAGAAGACCAATGCACAAAATTCGTGCAAGGTACTTGGCCTCTGCTGCCTGTGTGGCTTCATCCGGAAGGACATCCAGTCTGATTAGCATATTATGCTTTTATTATTGTAGATATTTTAGACATAGATATGGAGATTGACATAGCTAGATCTTCTTTTCTTTATAGTCACTTAAGAATATGTTCATTGATTCATAGATATAGATGTAGATGTAGAGATAAATATAGAGATAAAGATGTTGATGTATTTGTAGATGTACATAAAAGTGTAGATATAGATATTGTTTTCCTTATCCTCAACAAAGTATATACTCATTCATTCTTAGAGGGAAAGCAAAGGAGACAGAGAGAAGGAAAGTGAGAAACATTGATGTGAAAGAGAAATATTGATCAGTTGCCTCCCATATATGACTCTACTGCTAATCAAACCTGCAAGATTTTTATGTATGTATTTATTTATTTATTGAAATTTTTAAAAATTGATTTTAGAGAGGAAGGGAGAGAGAGATAGAAACATCAACGATGAGAGAGAATTATTGGTTGGCTGCCTCCTGCATGCCCCACACTGGGGATGTTTCCCGAATTCTGGACATGTGCCCTGATTGGGAATCGAATGGTGACCTCCTGGTTCACAGGTCGATGCTCAACCAGTGAGCCATGCTGCTTGGGCTCCTCCTGCATTTTACGATTCACAGAGCTGGGCTCTGGTCAGCGAGACGTTGGCAACATCAGACCCCAGCCATTGCCTGGCTGCCCTCTGATCCCAGTGGCCACATACTTACCCACTACGATGCTCTGCAGCTCATGGCTTCTCCTGGAGGTTCCCTCAGCACAGGTGTGAGCTGTGGGAGGTGCTGTGAGGTCAGTGCTCATTTGTGTCTCCCCCTGACACAGGTGGGGCCAGCACTTCCTGACCTTACATGTGGGCACTGCATGTGGTCTAAGCAGGGCAGTTGAGGTCATTTCAGGTCGACCTGGCATCTCAGGGAGGGCCTGGCACAGGAGATGCGAATGAGGGGATGAGGTGGGGCTGCCTTTAAGGCAAAACCTACCAGGGCAAGAAGGTGAGGGCAGAGCACCCGGAATCCTGTGCAGGCCCCATGGGTTAAGAGTGTGGGTGGCAGAAGATGGAGGGTGAAGGTGGAGTTGTGTCTGCAGAGCTGGAGGCACAGCAGAGGTGGGTGGGACCAGTTCTCTTTTCAGCAGATTCTCAGGATGCAGGTGGATTCTCCAGGGGAAGTGGAACAGGTGTTGGGACACGGCCCCGGGGACCAGGTTCTGGGACCCATGAGGAACATGCCCAGCAGGGCTTCCTGCCTCCAACTGGCCGACATGGAGAGGTGGGCGCTTTCAGGGTCAGAACTTAGACCTCCATGTGCAGCCATGTCAGTGAGAGGCAAGCAGCTAACTGCCCCCAAAGGGCTCCTCCCAGGGCAGAACTAGGGACTGATCATGCTCAGATGAGGTTTGGGGCCTGGACTCCGTGTTCCACGCTCAGCACTGTGTGGAGCAGGAGTCCTCAAACTACGGCCCGCGGGCCACATGCAAATACAAATACTGTATTTGTTCCCGTTTTGTTTTTTTACTTCAAAATAAGATATGTGCAGTGGGCATAGGAATTTGTTCATAGTTTTTTTTTTTTTTTAATCTATAGTCCGGCCCTCCAACGGTTTGAGGGACAGTGAACTGGCCCCCTGTTTAAAAAGTCTGAGGATCCCTGGTGTGGAGGGTGGAGAACATTGCTCTCAGTGAGGGGACAGGAATCCCTAGAATGTTTTCTTTGTCAACCAAGAGAGCAACCATCAGGGACTTGGTGACAGGAAGGACCCAGATGAGAAGTCGACCAGATCTGACACAGCCACTTCCTGCTTTTTTCCTGCAGAGAATCTAATTAAAGACACAAAGAAGGAAGAGGAACTGCCCCAGGGACACTAGGAGGGAAGAAAGCATTGACCCCAATGGGAAGGCTGCACACCCTCCAGGGACAGCCTCTGAGCTGGGACCTGGGTTTGCTGGTCCTGAGCGCCCCCTGGTGTCCTGGATGCTCCCTGCAGCCCAGCCCTGCTGTCTCCTCAGGGAGGTTAGTGTCTGGGCTCACACTGACTTCCCCTCACTGTGTCTCTTGCACAGTAATACACGGCCGTGTCCTCGGCTCTCAGGCTGCTCATTTGCAGATACAGCGTGTTCTTGGCGTTGTCTCTGGAGACGGTGAAGAGGCCCTTCACAGAGTCGGCGTAGTATATGTAACCACCATTCCAATTAATGCGTGAGACCCACTCCAGCCCCTTCCCCGGAGCCTGGCGGACCCAGATCAGCTAGTAGCTACTGAAGGTGAATCCAGAGGCTGCACAGGAGAGTCTCAGAGACCCCCCAGGCTGCACCAGGCCTCCCCCAGACTCCACCAGCTGCTCCTCACACTGGATACCTGCAAACACAGAGACACAAGGTGGACTGAGAATCACATGGAAGCACCAACAGGCACAGGCACAGGTCTCAGCGCCCCCCACTCCTGAGAACGACCTTGAGAAATGATCAGGAGGAAAACGCAGCTTGGCACCAAGTCCATGGTGGAGCCGCTGGGGTCCTGTCTCAGGCGCTTGGGTTCTGGGTGTCTCCCCAACATGCCGGGCAAGGGCCCCCTTTTATGAGCAGGAGGAGAGCCCCATTTGCATGGAGTCTGCATATAAGGTGCAGCTGGGACCCTGGGCTGCATGCCTGACCTTGTCATTCTAGGGGCGACCCCAGATGGGAAAAGACTTAAGTACGCTGGCCACAAGGGGTCTCATCTTGACCCCCCTCCCTACCTCCTTTCCTGAGACCCGTCACCCTGACACAATTCCTTGGGGGGCAGCTTCCAGGATTGAGAGTCCTTCCTTGGGTTTTTTTAAAAAATATATTTTATTGATTTTTTCACAGAGAGAAAGGGAGAGAGATAGAGAGTTAGAAACATCGATGAGAGAGAAACATCGATCAGCTGCCTCCTGCACATCTCCCAATGGGGATGTGCCCGCAACCCAGGTACATGCCCTTGACCGGAATCGAACCTGGGACCCTTCAGACCGCAGGCCGACGCTCTATCCACTGAGCTAAACCGGTTTTGGATTCCTTGGGGTTTTTATGAGGACCCAGGGGTGCTCCCCCAGAGGCATGTGGATGGGGCTTCCTCTCACTCTCCTTCACCCGCCGTGGACCATGTTGCCTTTCTGAAGTTTGGGGAGAAGAATATGCATTGGATGAAGCTTTTATTTTGAAGCTGAAAGATTCTCCTTGTTATTTTTCTCCATCACATCATCGACAACACTCGAACCTCTACATGTGAGGAGGCAGGAGAGGCCTGGCTGGACACTGTGGCCGCAGCCTTCGTCTCAAACCTGAGGCCACTCTCACAAGCACACAGCTGTCTCCTGAAACCACACATTTCCCTTAACTTCCCTGCTGTTCGTTTGTAAAAGTCCTGTTTCCAGCCTCTTAAAGTGGGAGAATTTCCATCATTTACTAATGGATTCCTGATGGGTGGTGGGGGCTGGCTGGCTGGCTGGGGTCAATGGGGAAAAAGGGACATATGTGATACTTTTAACAATAAAAAATTATTAAATATAAATAATTAAATAAATAATATTTAAAAAATGGAGTCCTTGCCCTGGCCGGTTTTCTCAGTGGATAGAGCATACCCTTGGGAACCAAAAGGTTTCGGGTTTGATTCTGGTCAAGGGCACATACCTTGGTTGCAGGCCCCTTCCATGCCCTTGCCCTGGTCACAGCTTGTGCAGGAGGCAACCAATTGATGTGTTTCTCTCACATCAATGTTTCTCCCTTCCCCTCCCTCCCTTCCACTGTTTCTCTGAAAAGCAATGGGAAAATATCCTTGGGTGAGGATGAAAAAAGATGAAAGAAGGAATATGTTGGCTCTTGGAAGCAAAGTTCTGGGTAGAGAGTTGAGGCACCACATCTTCCTTGGGGGCAGGTGAGCTCCTCTCTTCTCAGAGGAGAGCAGCCACCGGTGTCCATCCTCCCACAGCCCCAGGTGAGGACAGACAGACACAGGAATCTGGGACTGGGTCACTTGTTCCTCTGGGAAGGCGGCCACCACCACTTGGAAAGTGCAGTCACTCTGCGGAGGGGGTGGGGCATGGGCAGGTCAAACACCACGAAGCCTTACTTCTCTCTTCATTTTTTTTAAATACGGTTTTTAAAATTGAGTTTGGAGGGAGAGGAGAAGAGAGTGATAGAGAGGTGGAAACTCTGAGAGAGACAAACGTGGATGGGCTGCCTCCCGATCTTAGTCTAAAATATTCTGTTATTTCTGCCTGGTTGGTTTCTGTGGTTGGGCTGCTCAGACTGCCATGTCGGCCCCGGTCTACCCTCCACCTGCCTTTGTTTCCCATGGACCCTGCCCACAACCCAGACATGTGCCCCGGGCAGGAATCATCCTGTGACCTCGTGGTTCCTGGGAGGATGCTCAACCCCTGAGCCACACCCCCGGGATCCTTCCCTTTCTGAGTAGCATGTACGTGACTCAGGTTCACTCAGTTGCTGCAGGTCTCTGACTGTGTTTTGAGAGCCTGACAGATGCCAGTTCTGATAGTTTCGGTTTGTTTTTTGATGTTTTTGTGGAGGAACAAGAGTTTGGAGCTGCCTATGCGACCATTTAGCTTCAGCCCCTTCTGCTCAGTGACTCCTTTTGTACAAACAGAGAATGAGAAAGGAGAAGAGCAACCTCCCAGAAATCTACCAACAACAGAGAAAACAGAGGATCCAGTGCCCATCCCAGGCCAGCAGAGGCGGGAGCAGGGGCCCAGGCTGAGCAGTGACTCTGGTGTTTGTAAGGAGACCCTGTGTTTTAGGAAGATGAGCTTCCTGTTCCTGGAGGACCCCAGACACACGTCCAGAAGGGGAGGCTTTTAGAGTGGTTACCTTGACAGGCAGGCAGACAGTGTCCATGGGAAACAAAGGCAGGTGGAGGGTAGGCGGGGCAGGCAGGGGAGTCTGAGCAGCCCAACCACAGGGACCAACCAGGCAGACATAACAGAATGTTTCTGGACTTAGAACGGGAGGCCTGGGAAATGAGGAAGGGCCTGTAACAGTAAGGTGAACGCCCACAGGGGAACAGGGGACATGCAGGTCCCTTGCTGGGCAAGAACAATGAGGGGCGAATCAGGTGGGCACACGGGTAGACACAGAGCAGGCTGGTGGCACATATTCACCCGAGACCACAGGCTTCAGGGGCAGCCCATTAGTGGGCCCCTCCCTGGGGGAGGGGCACCCTGAATCTTCTTGTAATAAATTCTCCACACTTTTGATTAAATCTTCTGGTCCCTGATTTCATTCTTGGACTTGGTGACAACTGATCCCAGGGACAGAAAAAGCTAGGCTCGCTGTCCAGGTTATCAAGTTTGCCTCAAATAAACTCTTAAAAATATTCTCCAGGGGATGTGCTGCAGCAATGGGGAAGGCGGCAGGCGATAAGGCTTACTTCTAAGGGGCAGTCTGTTCTGGTTCAGGGTCATCACCCTCTCCTCTGGCTATTACACGTGGGTTGTCATCTAGCCTCAGAGTATTCCTTATCAGAGCCTCGGGCCCCTGGGCCAGTCACTCAGTACTCGGTGGACCATCATCACACCCTTCTGTGCAATGGGTATGGCTTGTGGCTGATCCACGTGGAGAGTCCTTGTGTGCCATGGTATTGTGCACGTCTAAAGGCACCACAGATGGTCGGGCTCAGCTACTCTGGTTCCTGCAGACGTTCCCCTTTGCAATTGCCTCCCTCTCCATCTCGATTGCTTACAGACCAAACACCAAAAACCAACTTAAAGAAGGTACCCAACCTTTCCCGGCACTGACATCACCTTACACTTATCGGGGGATGGTGTGCTTACTCCACCTTTCTGCTTTCTGTGAAGTCATGACCCTGTAGTTATTCATGATTTCTTACTAATGGCCTGGTGTACGAAATTTGTGCATATTAAAAGGGAATTAATTAGAGGAAATATTTTAATATTGCTATTTGCCCTTTCTCTTTAATAGAAGTATCAGAGATGAAAGAAAATTGGTAAAATGTATATGAAAATCATTCTCCTGTCAGAGTCTGGGGTGCGCCATGGAACCAGAGTCCAGTCCCCGCCCACCCACGTGCGCCTCGAAATCATGGGAGACCCAGACCCATCCGGCCCCACCCCCAATGGGCTAGATTCAGACCCAGAAGGCCCCAACCACTTCAAGCCCTGCCTGGGGCTGAGGGCGTGGCCTGAGGTTCCCTGGCCCAGGCTATCGAGAGAGGCCTGAGGTCCCCGCCCCCCCACCCTGTTGAGACCCCCCAGGCAGGGGGCGTGGCCTCAGGTCCCTGGCCTGGTGCTTGGGTGGGGGCATGACCTGAGGTCACCTATCAAGCCCCGCAGATGGGGGCTCGACAAAAGTCCCCTGTCAAGCCCTGTATTGGGGGGGGGGGGCACCGCCTCCAGTCCCCGCTCATTGCTCGTTAAGGCTCATTATGGGAACTCAGCCTCCGTTGTGGGCACAGGCATCTTGACCCATACTGTGTGATGGTCAATGTGCATATTCCCTCTTCATTAGATAAGATTCTCTGCTTGGGTTTGAGTAGCGAATAGGAAAAGGATGTATGTTTCCCATTCTGCAGACTAACTTAGCTGGCAGGGTACTTGTAGTTACCTTCGTGAAGGCCTTGGCTGTGTTGGTGCTCTCTCCCTGCCATCTGGTTTAAGCCACATACTGAATTTGCTTGTTGATCTACCTGTGCACCCACCTTTTCATTGAAACAACTTACCCATTCACCTACATCTTAGCTGATTAGGGGTTGCTTTTCAGTAAGGTAAAATATGTTAGAGTTAATCGATGGAAATCCAACTCAGATTTTTTAGAGGCATGGTCTTCTCCAAGGGAAATAATGACAGTAGTATTAATGGTGCCAGGAACAAGATGGTGCATTATGGAATGGAACGGATTAACGAATAAAATGCTGTGAATTGCCCCTCCCCTCCAAAAAAAATATTCTCCACAGGCTTAGAGGTTCTCATGTCAACAACTTCAAAGTGGGTAATTTATGGTGTGTATTTTATGCTGATTCAACCAGCAGGGGAACCTGCCAAATTGTCAAAGGGGGGGCGGGCCGCATAGCTGGGGAAGCCTTCTTTCTTTCCTTCTCCTTTTTTATACACTTTCCTGGATTCCAGAGAGGAGAACAGTGCAGAGATGGAAACATCAATGATGAGAATCATTGATCAGCTGCCTCCTCTTCGCCTTCCCTCTGGGGATGGAGACTGCAACCCGGGCATGTGCCTTGACCAAGGAATTGAACTGTGACCTCCTGGTTCATAGGTTGATGCTCAACTTCCCAGTCACGCTTGCTGGGCTGGAAAAAGACGGGACACTTATGTCCATGACAACCAACAGCAAACTT